AATTCACTACAATTACCAGCCGTTGCTGCTATCGATAGCACCGTGAAGCTTATTTCTATGCCTGCGCATCTGGAAAAACACAAAACCCACCTCTTCCAGCCCCAGCACGAGACGACAGACGGAGTCTGGAGAGGTATTGTGAGAACCAGCCAATGTTCTTGTCGATGGCTGCCTGAATCTCCATCTCGTGCTGCCTCAGGATCTTCCTCAGCGACTGCTCTCGCACTGCCTCGGCGACGGTTGGGGGAAGGGACCAGAACGAGGAATGAAGGGGAATGACGATCGAAAGGGAAATAATAAAGCGAGCTAAATGTGGAAGACACCTGAGAGCGCGAACCGAAGCGAAACGGAGATCGAGAGGAACAACGAATGGACGGTTGAGGCCGAGGCGCATTGGCCTGAACGATTATCGTACGCATATTTTTAAAGAAGTCGCACAAGAGAGATCCATGGAAATCAGGATTGACGCAGAACACGTGGCAAATGTGGCCAGCTGCAGGGAGGATGTCTCTCGACTTGAAATTAAGAAACTTACGCTCTTCAAATTCCGACTTTCGTTGTCTGTCTGCCAGCTTTCCGGTCTCTAAGATGAATACGACCATAACGACGACGAACAGGAGGATCACAAATCTGAGGCCGAAACGGAAGAGGCCGGCTGGCGCCTTCTTTAACGGCGTCCGCAACGCTCCCATGGCACCACGATAATAAGCTCTCCGCTTTCCCGGATGCGGACCCGCTACCATTCAAAAAGGACGACACGGTAGCAGTGGTCAGAATGCGGAGGACAGGCCGGCGACTCTAGACATGATTCATGATCACAGACGATTTATATAACTATATGCGACGGGGATTGCGTTGACGAACCTAACGGCTGCAGTAACGATACGGCCCACAGCCGACAGACTAAATGCCAAATCAACAAGAGGTCTTCGGGACGAAATGCAGGGAGCAGATCACACGAGTTTCCTGAAATACGGTCAAGTCTTCCGAAGGAGGAACTTGTGCAAACAGCTTTGCTTGAAGGATTGTTGTGCTGAGATCAAGCCCAGGAATCTCCCGCCTGACACAACCTGTGTCTGCCTGACGGGTCGCGGCTTCACATGGCCTATACTCGTTTGAAACCGCACTCGACAAACATAGTTTCAGCGAAAAGGCATACGACATAATTTCTTAATTCCAACTTGAAGGCTCAAACAACACATCCAACCCGTTACACGCAGTATTTGAGCTCTAAGCTTGAGCGGCATACAGATTTTTAATAGCCTCAACATCATCATAACTGCCCAAAAAGATTGGGGACCTGTCATGGATCTTGGTTGGAACGAGCTCCAGGGCCTGCAAACGTAGAAAACAGGAGTAATTTCTTTTCCTAAGTTAGGACCCGACACAAATACAACAAAGCGGTAAGAGGAAAGAAAAGAACGGAAGAAACTCTGCTGCTAGACACTTACACGTTGTTTTCCTGTGAAAGCCTGACCGCCTGCTTGCTCAATCAACATAGACATCGGGAAAACTTCATACAGCACCCTGCACAGTAGATTGAAATTGTATCCATGAGCCAAGAGTTATTTGTAAACAATAAGACCACAACTAAAAAACGTGTCCTCTTCACAAGATTGTACCTTGAAAACTTAAACATCTCTTACCTCAATTTGCCATTGGGACTCTTCTTATCAGCCGGGTACAAGAAAACTCCACCATACAGAAGTGTCCGGTGCACATCTGCCACCATACTGCATAAACGGAATGGACAACAAACGTGAGTACTTTCACTGACGGTTGACAGTAAGGGACACGAATGGACAACAAACGTGAGTACTTTCACTGAGGGTTGACAGTAAGGGACACTGGCATTTAGATGTTAGCCTCACCTTCCAATGTAGCGAAGGGAACGCGGGGCCGAGCCATCAGTTGGGAACTTGCAGGACTCCACAAACCTGGACCACGACAGCTCAAAGATGAGACACCAACAATACACTACTACGCATATGTTCACCAAAAAAACAGAACGCTAGAGGCTGGCGTCTTTTACTTACTTTCTGGTTGGCTCATCCCAGTTCAGTGCATTCCCTTCATTAACTGAGTAGATCTTCCCCTTCTTGGGCATCTGCAGGTGCATTCGCGAGGGTTACTTCACACTGAGAGAGCTGAACTCCTGGTAAGACGAGAATTGTACACATGCGCTCCGGTACACGCTTGCTACATTTTCCACGCCGAAAAACTGCAATCTTCACCTGAATGTCGGGGTGAGTGAGGATGAACTCCCCGAGAGACGGATCCAGGGTGAACCCGTTAACTCCATTACCGGTGCTCAGCACAAGCTGCAGAACCGCATAGTAGGAAACTGTCAGTACCAGAACACAGAATGAAACTCCACGAGACAACACAGCGAACGTATAAGCTCCATCACAGCAGGTCGGGGCCAGCTGAAGAACCACAGCCGTACCGTGCACGAACTGCCATACATGCAGTACCCTGCTGCCACCATCTTGGTTCCAGGCTGCAGAACATCCTCAATCGTGCCTTCGGGAATGACGCCATCATCGCCCGCTTGGAGCATGTAGATGCCGAAAATCTGAAAATAAGTGATGGGGGTGCCTCGGTTATTATCATACATGAGTAGCAGCGAATGTCTCGGCACATCTTGCGTTTCTGACTTTCATATATTGCCCATTACTTTCACTAACAACTTGCTGTCCATCTGGCTATCCAGGTTTTGCGTTCATTCAAGCCCTTGTATGATTGCCCACCTTTGAAGAGCGGGAGTGCGTGGAGATTTTGGAAGCACGCACCGACTGTACGTTTTACTTCTCATTTACATCAGGCTAAATCATCCAGCACTCACTGTTCCGATGGACACTCCGCAGTCGATGTTGGAAGATCCATCGAGCGGGTCGAAGACCACGATATACCTGAAAGAAAGAACAACAACGTCATTCGCATACTCAATGACACAACTCAAGAAAATAACACGGTCAGAGATAGCAGCACCAGAAACGTTACCTTCCGCGGAGTCTTTTATCGACAAAAATAGGATCTTCCAGTTCCTCGGACACGAGAACGTTCTGCAAACAAGAATGCAACACGCACAGTGAATCTCGCATCGCTAATTTATCTTGGACTATCGAGCGCCTGGTCACTGGAACGTACCGTTCGGCCGCTGCTGACAAGGGCCTTGACGAACACATCGTTAGAAAGGATGTCAAGCTTCTTCTGCTCTTCTCCTTGGACGTTTGTCTCACCGGCCAAACCAATAAGTTTTGCGAGGCCAGCCTGCAATAAAGATACGATCACTCGTATCAGACTGGGAAACAGCTAGGGGGAAACGATGCGCCTACTCAGACGGACTGCGTTCTTGAGACTGTGCACCTTGTTAACGGCAGAGCAGACGAATTTGCAGCCAAGGACAATGTGATTTAGCAAAATGGTGAGATCTCCGCGCGCTTCTGGGTGCTTGGACTGCTCATTCAACACATGTCTGGTCAGTGTCATAAGGTCGGTCCTGGCAGCTTCAGAAGCGGGATCCATGGCTGCTAGATGTTAGCGATGACAGCCAAAATTCTGTTGGTAGACAGATGGAGGTTGGGAGAATGGAGATGAGAGAAGCTTGTTGATTTCGGGAATGTGAAATTCTATTGAAGGTATCTGTGCTTGTTGAAGCTGGATTCTCGTGGCGTGGGGTGGACGCTGCAGGGGGCGTGTCAGTCAGCCAATTTTACCAGATTGCCACCGTGTAGAAGTGCGCAACTTCCCGCCAATCCCGAGTGGCCCATTTCGAAACGTCCTCCTTGTGCGAGGTCGCGATGGTTTCGTGGAAGAGCGTCTAGCTGCCTCTCGTAAGTCTACGTGGCGTCGCAGAGAAACAGCGACGCCAGCTCGGCACTTCTTGACCAATGATTCAGTTGTGGTGGAAGGGATGGTGACGGGACCACACCACCATACCACAGCAAAACTGGCGGTCTAGCTCGCCAGCCACAAGTGTACAAAGCGCATCTCTCGCCGCGCCTGTAACGATTCCTTCGCGACGACGACGACTGCACTGAAACGGGATGCTCCCATAAGAACATACAAACAATAATAGCGGAACCAGCAATGACTTAGTATAAAAAGCAGAATCTTATAGTAATATACGTGTAAATCAACATTAGCCCATAACAATGCACACTATCCGAAGCAGCCAATATCGCAAACCCCTTCACAAACTTCAAGCTGGCTGGGCTCGACTTGACAGCCCTCCTCTCCTTCCTCCTTCCCTCCAACCAACTCTCTCATAAGCCCATCCCGTTTCCTCAATTCTCAAATCTTAGTCTTTTGCTGATCAGGGAAGTTCTTTCGGCGCTTGTGAAATCCTCGTGTCTCAGGGTTTCGTTTGTTCAGGCATCGACCTGATCGATTTCACCTGCATAGTTATCAAGATTGTCAGCTGAGTGGTGATGGCTGATTATGGTCCACAGCCTAGGCAGGCAAGGTAACTGAATGACAAGATTTATCATGCTGAACTGATGCATTCATGCATATGCATTAATGATAGTTTTTGCAAATGCTGAAGTGTTACCGGCAAGACATTCAATCCTTGTCTCTTTCCCTTTGTGTTTCGTCGCAATGTCACCCTGCAGTGGATCCAAGCGACCCGTTCCACTGGAAGACGGGAACTGGGTCTGCGAAGATTCCGCTTGTCTCAATGTTAACTACCCTCGTCGCACTGAGGTACGGATTGTCAGTACCTATCGTTGTATCTTAGTGATATTTAATAATAGTTGCAAAGCCAGATTTTTTTTTTTTTTTTTTGTGACCCGCTAACTTACGACGGTGATTTTTTTGCAGTGCCATAAATGCGGGAGACAGCGCGGACCTGTAGGCGACACGATCGTGGCGGAGTACAACAAGCGAATGAGAGGCCAGCGAACGGGCGACGCGGGTGGTTACGGTTACAACCAAGGCAGAGTAAGGATGCAAACGAAATTGCACAACGCGTGTTACATTCCCGGTCTAGGTCGAAAATGGTTCTCTAACGTGGTGCTCTTGGTAGACTATTCGATTTCGTAATTCCGGTATTAATCTGGTGGTTGTACGGTCGTCTGCTCTTGCGCTGTGTATCTCTCGTTGGTTTGTCGTTTATTTTAAACTCGGTGCGTACTGTGCTTGTGCCTTACTCTCGTGGGTACACCGCTGCTGGTGGTAAACCACCGCATTCATTGTTCGCCGGTTCAGGTGCAGGTACTGCAGCATGACCCCTACGGTGCAGCTGCGGCAGCTGGTTTTGGTGTTGGTGCTGGTGGTGGTGATGGTGGTTTTGGTGCTCGTGCGACTCTTGCGTCTCAGTACACGGTGGCTGCTGACCCCGGTTATGGTGCTGGTGCAGGCCGAAGGTCCACGCTTAGGTAAGTAACAGCGTTTAGCCTCGGATGCAGTTGGTTGCTAGTAACGGTCGTCGGTATAACGTTGGTTGATTCACTAGTTGCTACGCCTCGCCATCCCCTTATAACCTCATTCCACTTACATGCTGTTGTCCCCCCTTTTTGTCGTTCTCGTGCACTTGCATGTTTACATACTCTCTCCCTGTTTCTCTACTCACCCTCATTCTCTTACCTTACGCCCATTTCTCTTCCCCAGTGCGGCTGCCGAAGGCAAACGGTTAGCGGAGCAGCTTGTAGCGAGCTTCGCCATGTCAGCAGACCCCATCGCTGACGCGGGAGAATGCCTCGCCTCCGCCACGCTCTGGCTCCAAACCATGAAGTCGCGCATGAACATCCCGGGGGGCGGCGGCGACCCTTCCGCCGCCGCCGTGAACAACGCGGCAATGGCGGCGGCGGCCGCGTACGGTTACGCACCCGCAGGTCCAGTGGGAGGCGATCAAGCGGGAATGGCGTACTTCTACCAGCCTGCGCCCGGGGGATACGTGCAGATGGGCGGGATGCCGCAGTTTGCGGCCATGGCGGCTGCGCCTGCGCCCCGGCCTCCGTCTGTGAAGCCCATCCCCGCTAATATCAGCTTCGAGGATTATAAGGATCGCCCGAGTGACTTCCTCAGGGTGAGTTCTGCCTGCATTTGCTGCTGTTACGAGCCACTTGATTTCTCCTGTCTGGTGTCAGGTCACTGAGAAGAGATTTGGTTCCGGCTGAATGTGAATGTAAGGGGGGCGATGAGGACAATCGCTATGGCAAGGCAGCAGAAATGCTGCCGTTGTGCCGAAATACACAAAACTAATGAACTTCAGGCTGATGCCCCCTTCCGTATTGTCTCTCAGTCTTCATCCTTCCCTCCTCGTGCGCTTTAGCTGTCCCTGTAGCTTCCCTCTTTGTTGAGGTGATCTGTGCGTTACTGCTGTGGCTCATATGACGAGATGTGCTAGTAACGGGGGCAATGATGACAACCTATTACGGCAAGGCGGGAGATGGTCCTCTGGGCCTCTGCCGCCCTTGTGCCAACAAAAACAAACTAATGAACTTCAGGCTGATGCTCCCACGCTCTATCCCTGGTCAGCTCTCCCCTACTACCCTATCTCCTATCCCCTGTAGCTGTCCTGTCGTTTAATAAGTAGCAGAGCGAGGCGAGACTATAGGCGCCAATACTCGACTGATTAAAGAGTGGTTGGATGCTGTTCAACTTATATAGTATTGCTCATGCTGGCTGATGACGAGGGCACAGAGGATGTGGAACACAAATGGCAGGGAACCGAGTGTGCATGGATGGGGTGGGCTCACGAGCTCTCCTTGTCCATGTTGCGCCTGCGGATGACAATGTAATCTGATGAGACTGATGTGCCCTCTTACCCTGGAAACATGGCCCCATTTCCCTGTTGCGTTTCCTTGTTCCTTCTCTCGTTCCTTCCCTTCTTAGTTCTTCCCTATGGCGTTTTTATTCTTCATACGTGCCAAATGCCTGCCTTCAAGCACCGCCTGCCCCATGCTAACTCCCACTGTTCAACCTATTTCGCACTCTACTCAACATTTCAGGAGTTTGGCGATCCAGCAGCTCTGCAATCGCAGCGGGGGCTGAATCACACTCGCCCCGTGGTGGGAGTAAACGGCAACTGGGCCTGCTCCTCGTGCCAAAACGTCAACTTCCCTCGCCGCCACAGCTGCCACCAGTGCGGCACCAAGAGGAGTGAAGAGGGGGAGGAGATAGTGCGGAACTATGTGAAGCAGCTGATTGAAGAGTCGAAGAAGCAAGGCGGGGTTTAGGTGCTGTGGATTGGTGGTCTACGCGTCACACACCATAGCTGCCACCAGTGCAGCAGGCTTTGTGGACCGGTGGTGGTCTGGAGACTAACAGGGTGGTTTGCTTGTTAAAAATTAGTAGCTTTTAGTCCACTCATGTTGTACATTTACTAAAATGGTTTGAACTACCGATATGTAATGCCACTGATTGCTGGTTGCCTAGGTGCCTTGGCTGTTTCATGTGGTTCTGCTAGGAATATTCAGGTTCAGCATGTGTGCTTTCGAGGGACGCTCGCCGAGAAAGTACATGGATTCTGCCCATCCTCATCAAAAGGTTGCTTGCGTTGAAACATTACGATCCTGTGATGCCAAGAGACCCTTCGTCTGTACATTTCAATCTGATCCTCATCCTCTAGGTCCAGGTCTGCCAGAGTAGAATCACTCAGCGCATCGTCATCAAAGACAAACTTGAATGAGCACATTCATGCTGAAAGGGTAGTGTGGTAGTATGTTGCTGGGATTATTTCCGCACAGCTTCTATCTGGTCCTCATCCTCTAGGTCCAGGTCTGCCGGTGTTGAATCACCCTTTAGCGCATCGCCATCAAAGACAAACTTGAACGAGCCCACTGGCAACCCCCCCACCTTGTTGGCATACGCCGTGAACAGCTTTTCCAGCTTGTCGCCCTGGCAGGAATGCAAGAGAGAAGAGAGTAAGAGAGGGAGAGAGGGAGATAAAGACGAGCACATGGGGACGACAGAATGAGGCAAGTTGCAACTCGTGGTGCCACTCCCCACGCTAGCCACATGGCAGCTTGTTGCCCTGTTTCCCTGGCAGCAAAAAAAAAAAATACCTTGTCACCCTGGCAGGGAGCACTTTCTAGTGCAGGGAGACTTGCGAGTTTTCAAATGGCAGTTACAGTATGCTACAACACATGCAAGATTTCATCCCACCTTGGCCAGTCGAAACATGTGCTCTCCCAGGCTCCCAGTCACCCGCAGCCGAATCCGCTCGCCTCCCCCCTCCTCCCCATGCTCCGCTGCTTCTCCCCCCCCTGCTCCATGCCCCCCGTTCAAGTGCCCTTCCATATGCCCCACACCCGCACTTGCATTCCCTGCAGCAGCAGCACTGGCAGCAGCGAATCCTGCTCTTTGCTGCACTGGGGTCCTGTAACTGGCGGGAGTGGCTGCCCTAGCAGCGGCGGCTGCTGCTGCTGTTCTTTGCTTCATTGCGATCCTGTAACTCGAAGGGGTGGCTGCCCTTGCTGCTGCTGCTGCTGCTGGTGCTGTTGCTGCTGGTGTTGGTGCTGCTGCTACTGGTGTTGCACGGGGGTAAGTCACATGTGGTACCCTCACTGCTGATGCTGTTGCTACTCCCCCTCTCCACCCTGCAACACCTGCTGCTGCTACCACTGCTGGTGCTGGTGCTGTTGCAGCTGTTGCTGCTGCTACTGCTGCAGCCCACCCTTCTCTTATGACGTCCACAGTTGTTGTTAATCTCCTGCTGCCTCTCGATCTGAACCTTCTAGCCGCCTCCACAGCCGCCGCCATCGCTGCTGCTTCTGCTTCTGCTGCTCCTGCTGGTGCTGCCGCCGCCGCCGCCGCCGCCACCGCCGCTGCTGCTGCTGCTTGTGATCCTGCTGGTGCCGTCGCCGCTGCTGCTCCGTCCAACGGGCTGCGAGTTTCGTTGTGACCACTTGGCCTATTCGGCTGCGGCTCTGGTGAAGGCATGGGGCATGCTGACATCACATGCTGCCGCAGCTCCTGGTCTGACAGCTGCTCCCTCATCCGAGCCAACTCGGCCTGCTGCTCCCTGAAATGGCTGCACAACGGACCACAAAAGCACGACAAAAGGAGGGTAAGAAAACATAATCCACAGAAAACATAATCTGCAATCACTTATTTGTTAAACCTAATCGCCGCAGTCAGTTTATAACCCACCCACTCCTCACGTACCCCATCCATCCCTCGTCTAACCACTCACCTCACTTCGCTTCGATACAGCTCCAGCTGAGGGTCATCCATTTCACCTGCCCCACCGTCATCACTCCCTTCCCCCCACCCATCCCACGCCTCCTCTCCATCGCCGCTCTCCTTCCCTGCCTCAGCGTCCCCATGTGCTGCTGCATAGCCCGGCATAATGGCTGCATGGGAAGCTGGATGGCTTGGCATGGCGCTATGCATGGCAGACGGATGTGAGGCATGGGGCATGGCAGACGGGACCACAGCTGCGTTTGCCTCGCCTGGCTTGGCCGAGCCTGAGGCAGGTTCGGAGGCGAGGAACGCGAGAGCACCATGGCGGTGACCCTTGGATTGGTGCAGCCGAAATCTACTAAGCTCACTACGTGCTTCTGCCTCTCCTGCTGCTGCTCCTGATCGGCTGGGACTTAGCACATTTTGGCTAGCTGGGTTCTGGCCGGTGGGACTCATGCAACCGCGGGGGCTGAGAGGATTTGCACGAGGAGGGGCAGAAGGAGAGCCGAGCGGGGAGGTTAGGCAGGGGGAGAGCGGGCCGGGGTTGACAGGTTTACCACCACCACCCTCGATTCTCTCCATCTCCTCAGTGGCATTATTACCAGTGGCACCCACAGGCTTGCACGGCTTGCAAGGAAGTGTGGGGCGGGCGAAAGTCATAGACAGATTCCCATACGTGAAAAGGGCCTCTATATCCTCGTCATCCTCCTCGTCCTCCTCATCCTCAGGGTTGTTACTGGTGCCGCCATTTGCTAAAGGTGCTGCGGCCTGTGCTGCTCCTGCTGCTGATGCTGCCACTGGTGCTGCCACTGGTGCTGCTCCTGCAGTAAATGCTCGAATATTTACACCAAAGTTTGGCTTACGGTCAACCACTGCAGTACCGCTCTCCTTCACAACACCCCCCTTTGCACCACCTGTCACCGCATCAGCTGCTCTTTTTTCTGCCTTCTCCTTCTCAATCTTCTCCTGGTTTTCCTTCTCCTTCTTCTCCTTCTCCTCCTTCTCCTCCTTCTCCCTCTCCTTCTCCTTCTCCTTTTCCCTCTCCCTCTCCCTCTCCCTCTCCCTCTCCCTCTCCCTCTCCCTCTCCTTCTCCCTCTCCCTCTCCCTCTCCCTCTCCCTCTCCTTCTCTCTCTCCCTCTCCCTCTCCCTCTCCATCTCCTTCCCCCTCTCCTTCTCTCTCTCCTCCTCCTCCCCCTCCTCATCATCATCATCCAACACGATAAGAGCAGCACTGCTGCACGCAGCAGCGAATGCCTTGCTAGCTGCATTACCCCTTCGTCTCCCCCGCGCGCCTCTGCTGCCCCTCCGCAGCCTCCGCGGCCTAGCGTCACAGTCACTGTCGTCGCTCAGTGCAATCACATCCGCTGCAGGCGCCCCAGCTGGAGCGAAAGAACCTCTTGCAGCCACGAGGTCCACGTCTATTGGTACACGTGTCACGGATCCATTCGCTGCTGCGTGCATGGAAGCAGAGGCGAGAGGTAAGCAAGTGACGGCGGCTGGTGCTGCTGCTGGTGCTGCTGTTGGTCGTGCTGCTACTAGTGCTGCTGGTGCGGCTGGTGCTGCTGAAACAAGTGGATGTTTCTTAGACTCTGCAAGAACGGCTGCATCTGAAACAGGCGAATTCCCTTCCTTGGAACCCTCTGAAACGGCTACAACTGACGCAGGAGAATCGTCTTTCAGTGCTTCAAGTGCGACTGCATTCAATCCAGGCAACTGCCTATTCCCAGCCTCGGAAAACGCCGCGTCTGAAGCAGGCGAATGAAATTCCTCCGCCTCGCACGGCTCTTCAGGCGAGCGGAACAGAGCCTTATGAACCGGCTCGGATGCTTTGACCTCCACCTGCGGTGAGAAAAACTTCTCGGCCGAATCATGCGGAGAATGATTCACGGAATCTGCGTCTTCGGGACTGCTGCTGCTGGTAATAACCATCATATTGACAACCTCCCGGCTCTCGGTAGCGGTGGTAGGTCCTCCAATTCTGCTGCTCCTTACGTTAATCGCCTCGCATTGGTTTATGTCTTTGCTTCCGTTTTTGCTCCCGCTTCTGCTTCTAGTTGTAACCCTCCTGGTGGCAACCCTGTTGGTGTTAACCTCGTCAGGCGAGCTGAATGCAACAGAGCTCGCAACGACGCCATCCTTCGCAACGATAGTTTTTTTCGAATTCCTGGTAATGCTCGCGGCCTTGCGACTCCTCGCGTTTTTAGCAGTAGTGGCAGCAGTAGTCGCGTTCTTCGCATTCGTCGCAGCCGTCGCATTCGTCGAATTCGTCGCGGCCGCTCTTCGATTCCGGCTGCTGCACGGCTGACTATCCGCTTGTGAGGCGACAGATGGAGCTACATCGGCCAACGATTCTGAGTCATTTAGAGATTTTTTCGTAACGCGTTTCTTCGTAGAGACGGAGTCCGAAGGTTCCTCGAAGGCCGACACTAAGGATCGCTTACTCCTCGATCGCGTTTGCATGGTTCCTCCACCTGCCTATCACGATCGTGCATTCATATACGCTGACTACCAGATTGGCCTAATGAAATATTAGGCAAAACCAACGGTAAGCTAAACTGGCCTATCGACTCACAAAAGCATATTGCTGTGCGCCAAAAACCGTGTCAGAAGTCAGAACAAGGCTGCGTCGGTCATGGCTAATAGTGTTGCACTGGCGGTGCGTCAATCTCGAGGGGCGTGTTCAGAAACCTCACTTTCACCATCTTCCAAACCTTACAATTTCTTCCCTTCATCCACACCCAGTTTGTGTCATAACGCCCAGAACGACTAGTATTGTACTTAAAACTTCATCACACCCTCCGAGGAATTCCGCAATTCGAATCCCACCGAAAGTAATAGAATCTGCCCACCCACAAATTGTCAAACTGTATGCTTGCGTTATCTCTAGGCTATAGTGGGTTAGCCTACAAGGGATACAACACTTAAGGTTAGGTACTTGTATTCATGCATGCTACCTAGTCCACCACATTCCTGCCTGCTTATTCTTGTTGCAAAGGAATCTCCTCTACTTTGCAGGAACTGGGAGTTGTTCAACTCAGTAGAGCACTGTCGTAGCTTTCCAACGGGCCGTAGATCACCTCGATCGCCTAAGTATCGAGCGAGATATGGCGACTAATCTTGAAAGCTATGCTCTATGTTGAAGGATTGGAAACTCTCTGGAATTTGTTGTCGAATGCACTGTGTACAAAGTGATCCACGTTTTCCAGTATGAAACATGCATACAAAGCGCACACGTTTATAGCTACTCAATTTGTCGAATCGCACACGTAACATCGAGTTGCTACATGAAGTGTCGTGAATGTTCCGTGGGTAACATTTCGATGTGGTGAAACTCGTCAACCGAATTTCACACATTCGAATGTTCCTTTGGTCCTCGAATGTTCCAGGTGCTGCCATGTGGCACCGAACTTCAAGTCTCCCGAAGTCAACCTGCACTTTCTCGAAACCTGCAGTGAAGTGAATCGGAAGCAACACATTCGGTGGTTGGGGGCAAACCTCCCCCCCACGCAACCTCCAACAATTCAAACATGGTATTAGAGCAGAATCGTTCCTAGGGCCCACCGAACGTTCCGCCCTGCCCTAACCGTAAACTTTTTCTTCCTACGCTGCCCCTGCAGCCGCGCTGCCCTAGCAGCCCGCGTGCTGCCCCTGCGACCGCGCTGCCCCTGCAGCCGTGCTCGCCCCTGCGACCGTGCTGCCCCTACAGCCGTGCCTGCCCCTACGACCGTGCTGCTCCTGTAGCCGTGCCTGCCCCTGCAGCCGTGCCTGCCCCTGTGGCCCGCGTGCTGCCCCTGCAGCCCGTTGGCGCTGCCCTTGCAGCCCGCGCGCCGCCCTGCCGAGCCGCGCGTTGCCCCTGCAGCCCGTGGGCGCTGCCCCTGCAGCCCGCACGCCGCCCTGCAGAGCCGCGCGTCGCCCCTGCAGCCCGTCGGCGCTGCCCCTGCAGCCCGCACGCCGCCCTGCCGAGCCACGCGTTGCCCTTGCAGCCCGTATGCCGCCCTGCAGAGCCGCGCGTCGCCCCTGCAGCCCGTACGCTGCCCTGCAGAGCCGCACGTCGCCCCTGCAGCCCGTGGGCACTGCCCCTACAGCCCGCGCGCCGCCCTGCCGAGCCGAGCGTCGCCCCTGCAGCCTGGGCGCCTCTCTGCCGAGCCGCGCGCCGTCCCTACAGCCCGCGTGCCGCCCTGCCGAGCTGCGCGTCGCCCCTGCAGCCCGTGGGCGCTGCCCCTGCAGCCCGCGCGCCGCCCTGCCGAGCCCCGCGTCGCCCCTGCAGCCCGTGGGCCGCGTGCAACCCTAAACCCTAAATATATATGTATATATATATGTATATATTAGTCGTGCTACTGCTGCTGCTGGTGGAGGTGCTGCTGGGAGTGCTGGAGGTGCGGCCGCCCAGCCCCACTGAGCCGCCCTGCTGCTGCTACTACTACTACTGCTGCTACTCGTGCTACTGCTGCTGGTGGTGGAGGTGCTGCTGGGAGTGCTAGAGGTGCTGCTGTTGCTGGAGGAGCTGGAGGTGCTGGACCTACTCCTTACCATCGCTGTCTGTCATGTCCACTATCGCGGCAGTTGCTGCGGCTAGGGTTGGACAGCAGCGGGCACTGCCTCTTCCGGACGACCCCACCCCTCAACAGCTTCGTGAGTGGGTTGTTCAGCGAGGCAGGCCTGGTGGTGGAGGTTATCGTTGTGTTAAGGCTGCTGCTCTTGGTGCTAGTGAGTCTACTGCCACTCCAGGTGCTAGTGAGTCCGCTGCCGCTCCAGGTGCTAGTGAGTCTGCTGCTGCTCTAGGTGCCCGTGAGTCTGCCGACGCTCTATGTGCTAGTGCGTCTACTGCCACAGGTCCTGCCTCCGCTGAGATCTTGCACACTTTCACACTTGACTCAGGCGCGTCACGTTGCTTCTTTCGTGATTGCACCACAGTCACACCACTCACAGCACCTGTCCCAGTCTCACTGGCTGACCCCTCTGGGGGCCCAGTAGTTGCGAGAGCCTCCACGTGTCAGAATGTTGTATTTGTCTAGCCTGCAGTGGGGTACTCTATAGCGAGTACAGCCCAATCTAGGGTTTCCTATATGTACTCAACTGCTTGCTAGTGAAATCCTCCCTTTCTTCATTCTTACTTTCTACTGCTATTCTGACATGCTATCAGAGCAGGTCGATCCCCTTGGGTCGATCCTGTGGGTGGGCCCACCACCTCACTGCTT